GCAAAGAAGATGAAGAGAATATTGAAGGAAGAAAATGGACTTTTTAATCAGGATTGGGAACTGCAGTATTATCTTGTTTCTGTGAAAGGTAAGATGATTTGCTTACTTTACAATACTCCAATATCAGCATTAAAGAAATTCAATGTTGGGGGTGAAGGCAAGATGGCCGAGTGAAGCCAGCTTTCCACAGAGGCTCCTGTCCAGGAGAGTTCAAGGACAGAAGTTTAGCAAGTAAGCTGATGGTCTGGAGCTGAGCCAAGAGAGAAGGTTGAAGAATGCACATCAACCCTGCTAAGGCAAGCTGTGACCCCAAAGATACAAACAATAGGTAAAAAATCCATCACCAAGTGGACAGGAGTCCCTTCCCCCACACGAGAACGGCTTGCAGTATACTTTCTCCAAAAATCGAGCAGAGTTCAAACATCCTCCCATTTTATCCCATGGGACAGACTCTCTAAAAAACGGACCTCCTTCACCTACTAGGGTGCCATGGCACTCTCCTGCCAGGCATAAAACTGTATGAAACTGTATATATTCTTTATCTGCAATCCTGAATTCCCAGCACTCCCCCTCCACTCTCACCCTGAGGTCTGGAAGCCTGTCTCCCATGGAGTCCAGATTCTTGGGCATTTTCTCAAGAGGTGTGTATAGGGTGTGGGCTATTGCAGATCTGTGCTGATTCTGCAGCACAGGGGTAAGGAGAAGATGGTGGTCTGAAGGAACCATACAGGAGAGGGAGAGGCAGTGACCCACGGCACAAAGCAGAAGTGGGAACAATAGGGCTCACACCCCTGGAGATATTTTGGAAAGACAATGCCTGTCTCTCTGGGCAACCAGAGAAAGCTGGGCATCTTCTTCAGTGGCAGACACCGGCGGAACAGATCTGGGACGGTAACGCAGGCCCCGTGAGTAAAGGGTATTCCTGAGGCAGTACCTGCCTGGGCTGGGCACAGTGGGGACTGAGAATAGCAGATGCAGAGACAGCATACTCCCAGGGCGGAGCTAGCCAGAAGTACTGCTTTAGTGAGCCTAGGAAACACCCGGCCCTCAGGGGGTCATAGCTGACACAAAGGCAGGCAGGCACAGGCTGGAACTCAGAGCTGAGTGTGAGCTCTAACCTTACCCACCCCAGCACAGACTGCAGCAGAGACAAGACAAACCAGCTCCAGGCAACAGCACAGACTAGGGCTCAGTCTCACTTTCTGTGAACTCAAACAGCACCTGGTCCTCAGGGGAAAATAGCCAGGACAGAATCACAAATTCTGTGAAAATATAAATGTCAGCAACATCAATCAGGGGCGGGGCTGGAACTGAGTGAACCCTCCCAGCTTCTATTAACCACCTGAGGTAGTCAGGCATCAACCCCCACTACTGGATGGTGGCAGAGTGCAAAAGCCTAGCTAAGGAGACACAGATCTCCCTGTGACTCAGGAAGGTACAAACCTCTGGAGCATCTGCTCATTGGAGGGAACTGGGTCACAGCCCTGTGGGGTTACCAGTAACTGGATATGACATAGGTGCAAGATGGGGAATGAGGCATCAACCTTCCCAGACTAATTCATTTGCTGGGACATAGTGGGGTCCTTCTGACTCCACAGAGCACCAGAATGAGTCATACTTGAGCTGCCAACAGACTCCTGCTGTCTAGTTGCTAGAGATCTTTTGAACTATCCCATTTGGGACCAGGTGCTGACTAGGACAACTGATTTGGATCTCTCGGACTGGACCAATCACCTAGGACTATCCAAAGTGGTACCCTGGGTGTGTGGTTGTGGGAAGGTTTGATTTTCCTTTCCCAGTTGTTGTCCGTGGGGGGCCTCAGTTGACTTCATTGCTGGTATTTCTCCACAGCTGAGACTTCAATCCAGAGTAACTGATTCACTAAGGTAGGACAAAGACCAGCTGAAAACAAGACAGAGCCACTTAGCCGCACCACATCAAGTAAGTCCCCAGTATCTCACGCCATAGTACTGTACAGGTCCTTTGCAACGCTCTAGGGGAAAAGACACAGACACCAGATCAGCTCTTGGGCAAAGGGCTGGTTAATCACTACTCCAGGAGCCCCCCAACCCAACTTTACCTTATCTGCTCATCTAGCCAAATGGTATAAAATAACCATGGGCTGGAATCAGCGGAAAAACTCTGGTAACATGAATAACCAGAGTAGATCAACTCCCCCAAGGAATAATATGACAGACACAACTGAAGATCCAATTCATAAACAAATGGCTGAGAAGTCAGAAATCAAATGCAGAATTTGGATCGCAAATAATATTAATAGAATGGAGGTAAAGTTGGAATTAGAAATTCAAGGAGCATGTCAAAAATTGTGACAAGAGTTCAATGAATTCAAAGACAAAATCACCAAAGATTCTGACACATTGAGACAAGAATTTGCAGCCCAAGAGCCAAGAAATACAGTAGAATTCCTCAGTAACAGAATGGAGCAAGGAGAAGAAAGGATTTCTGATATTGAAGAGAAATGGAGAGCAAAAACAGATCATTCTCTCTGAGAGCTCAGGGATAATTAGAAGAAAACTAATATTCGCCTAATAGGAATTCCTGAAGGCAACGAGATGGCTTCACAAGGCACAGAGGCTCTTCTTCATGAGATTATGAAGGAGAACGTTCCAGAAATGCCAAGACATTCTGAAATTTAGACAGCAGTTTTAGAACCCCAGCACAATTCAACCTGAATAAGACATCTCCTAGGCACATCATAATTAACATCATAATTAACTTCAACTTTCTCCTTCGTAATTAACTAAAGTTAAGTACAAAAGAGAAAATTCTGCAAGCAGCTAGATCTAAGAAAAGCATAACCTACAAGAGGAAGAATATTAGAATGATTGCAGTTCTCTCTGCTGAAACCTTTCAAGCTAGAAGAGGGTAGTCATTGACTTTTAATCTCCTAAAACAAAATAACTTTCAACCTAGGATCCTGTATCCAGCTAAACTGAGTTTCATTTATGATGGAGAAATTAAATACTTTAATGACATTCACATGTTGAAGAAATTTGCCATAACTAAACCA